TCGCCTGTTTTTATGCTTTGGTCCCATTGCTGGTGTATGGAGATCTTCATATCATTTTCTAAAATTGGCTACATCTTTATACTTAAAAAAAAAAATTATTTTAAAATGTCACCTGTTATTTACTGTCAACCGCGGAGCAGATCGGGTGCCTCACGGTTGAACTTGTGATGTCGCCTTAACCAGAAGCTTCCCTTCAAAAGCCTCTGGCAGGGACCCGATAACACCCACTGTGGACATGCGCACCTGTCTCCCGGAGAAGTGCTCCCTGCGTCTCTTCTGCTGCGTCACGGCTCATTTCTCAGCCTGCCGGGCGTGGTCAGGACGGGGCAGGGGTCGGAGCCCCAGGACCCTGGTCTGACTGTTCATTTGTTCTAGTAGGTTTGGGCAAGGGATCACTATGTCCACTTTATATGCCAGCTGGGCTTCCTGCTTCGGGAATCTAGTGCCCAGCCTAGTTCGGGAATCTGGGATTCCTTTATTCACGTCACACAGAGAAGCAACAGCCGAAGGCCACCTGTGCTGGGCGGACAGCGGCTTTCAGAGAGGCACCCCTGGTAGGCATCCCTCCCCCACCCTGGGTGCCTTGAAAGGACACCACTCATATGGCTGGACGCCTACCCACAGGCATGACATCGCTGAGTCCCCCCGAGAGATGGACGTGATGACCCCCTTCGCAGAGAGGGAAAACTAAGACTCGGGTGTGATTAAGTGCCTTGCCTCACGTCACAAAGCAAACACGTGGCAGAGCTGGGATGTGAGCTTCAGCCTTCGGGCGCCAGGGCCTCCCACCAACCGCCAGCCTCTTGAAGCCCCAGCCCAAGTCCGTAAAAATGAAAGGCCACTAAACACAGCAGGGGATCGTGGGCTCGAGCCTGGGGCAGTTGAAAGGGGCTCAGTGAGAACAACTGCTGAATGGCAAGTGAAGCTTGGCTAATAGTCGTACGAACGTGCACTCCTGCGTTGTGACTAATGTCTCATGGCTACGTGAGCTGTCGACATTGGAGAGACGGGGGTGGGAGCTGTAGAAACTGTACTGTCTGCACAACTTTCCTGCAAATCTTAAATTATTCCGGAACACAAAAATGCATTTAAAAGAAGGAGGAGGAGAACGGAAGGCCAGGCGTCAGGCACATAAATCATGTGCACATTCCCACCTTGACCTAAGATCTCGGCGGTCCGGTTGGTGACTTCCGTGAGCTCACAGGCTGCACAGTCTCGGATGCCTTCTGCCCACGATGTGGAACCAGACGGTGACAAATCCAGTTCTCTCCTGATCTTCTCCAGGAGACTGTCTCAGCTGGTGCCATAATCCTGACAACCATTGTATACCTGCTGACTCCTTTTTTTTTTAAATCCTCACCTGAGAATATTTTTCTATGTACCTTCAGACAGAGTGGGAAGGGGAGAGAGGGAGAGAAAGGGAGAGAGAGAGAAACATCGACGTGAGAGAGACACATCGATGGGCTGCCTCCCGCACAACCCCGACCAGGGCCGGAGATGAACCGCAACCGGGAATGTGCCCTTGACGGGAGTCGAACACTTGGCTCGTTGGTCCTCGGGCCGACGCTCTAACTGATGAGCCAAACCTGCCAGGGCTGACTCTGTTTTTAGGGGAGGGGTGACTTGGGTGAAATTTGATCTTATTTCAGAACCTCCAAACATGACGTCATTTTCAAACACATCTGGCGAAACTCCTGGAAACACAAGCAAAGGAAATCGAAGGTGGATGAGCCCCTGACACGTCTTTGCAGCACCTCGGACGGAACAGAGAAGTCAGACACTTTCACGTTCTCAGAATGAAGGTCAGTTTTTCTCAATACGTTTCATGGTGACTGAGGATCCGACATGCAAAAGGCACAGAACTGAGGGTAGACAGAGAAAAGCCTTCCTCTCAGCCCTGACTACAAGCTCCCTGGTTTGCTGTCCCTGGAGGCCCCCAGGGTCGCCAGTTCCTTTGTCTACCTGGAGCTTCTCGGTGCACAGGTAACCGTGAGCATCGGCTTCCCGCCCCTGTGGTGTTCACACGGCGACATTACCACCCAGCCTGAGCCAACTGCTCTCGTCTCAGTGCCGTTTGACGTCTAGATCTTTGCCAATTGAATAGCTAAGGCGTGTGGTCTCGTCGTTTCTTAAACATTTTTATTTGTTTTTCAGTTACAGTTGACTCAGGGCTGCAGTAGGCAACAGTCTTGGTGGAATTTAATCAGAGGGTTGGTTTTGTCGTGTGTATTTTTACAGTTAACTTCTATTTGTGGCGAGTCTTCTGGGCTTCGATATTAATTTTTCTGTCTAAACAAATATCTTTCATTTTTCTAAAGTCGATGTAAAGATCCACCATGAGCAAATAATAGTACAAAACTGATGAGGCTTCAGCCACGATCATGGAGGCAGTTCAGGAATGAATGAGATTCGGGAAAATGAGCAGCAATGGCGAGCATGCTTCCCCCAGGGGAAGGAAGGGTACCTTGGCCCTGTGCTCCTCACTCCTGAGCTCTGGCGTGGCGGCTGAGCAGGTGGGGCGCGCTCTCCAGCCAGCCCTGCGACCCTGAGCTCCCACCAGGCTTTCCCGTGCCTGGCACACTACCTGGCACCCAGTACCTGCTCAGTAAATACCTGTCGACTCAGTGGTTGCCCGGAAAAATGAATATGCAGATGCCGCTTTGGAGCCAGTGCAATCAGTCCCGTAAGAGCATCAAAGTATTGTCTGCGGTAGGAGGGCAGCCCCGTCATTGCACAAATGAGAGGCGCAAGCCCAGGAAGGGAAGGTATTTGCCCAAGCCAGGAACTAGGGCGTCTCACCTGTGACTACCCTTGCCAGCACACCAGACTGTCACTTCCAGTATGTCCCATGTGAATGACCTCAGCCTGGACAGATGAAACTAGCCTCCCGGTACCCTGCCTGTGCACAGAGAGTCACCTGCGCAGAGGCTGTCTGCATTTCATGGACAGTCTAGCTGAATGTCGTCACATGGGCTTTCGGACCCCGGGTTTCGGATGTTGGGCACTTCCATTCTTGGTTGGGGCCAACACCTCTCCCGTCATCAAGAACACCCATGCATGTGCACCTCCTGGGTCAGAAGGCGCCAGAGGCCGATTATGCAACAGAGACCGTGGAGAAAGGAATCACAAAATCTATTGTCTCAGGGAGTGTCATTGTCTCAGCAGGGCGTGTCACCTTCCCAGTGAGGCCGACCTGACCGCCACCAGCACCCTCAGTACCTCCAATCACCCTGACCTGCTCTACTTTATGCTCTTTTTTATTGATTGATTACCCTGTTGTTTATTGCCTGCCTGGAAGGTCCCCAAGAACAAGGAGCTGTGTACAGTTGTTCGCTGATGTGTCTCGACCCCCTAGAAGAGTCCCTGGCACTCAGCAAATGTTTGTTGGCTGCCTCCTGCACGACCCCAACTAGGGCCGAGGACAAATGGTAACCGAGGTATGTGCCCTTGACCGGAACTGAACCCGTGACTCATTGGCCCACGGGCCGATGCTCTAACCACTGAGCCAAACCTCCAGGGCCATGGGGTCTTCTTGATCCTCAGTTTACTCATCAGTCAGATGGAACGGTCATACTAACTGGAAGGGTTGGTGGGGCACAGGGCTGGAGAAGACACCTTGGTGCTGGGCTCGGAGAGACATTCAGTAGCTGTTACATCAAAGTCAAAACCCATTCGTTCGTCACCTGGTCAGTCGGTCCACAACGTGGGCCGGGAAGGCTTCACAGAAGGAGAAGGGTGAGTGACGTCAGGGAGGAACTGGTGGGCGCGGGAGGGAATGGGGAGCATCCGCGGGGTGGGGGGTGGCATGAGCGATGCGAGGAGTGGCCGGCAGTGCCGGGGCGTGCCTGGCAGGCTCTCGTGAAGAAGCGGGCCTTCCCTCCCGGAGGAGAGGAGCGCTCTGGAGGGGCTGGCCTGTCCGGGACACGGGCAGTTGCTGCACAGTCGTCCTTCTCAGCAAACACGCACCAAGCACGTTCTCCATGACATGCACTGGCCTGGGCACTGGGGCCACAGGAAAACCCAGTCTGCAGCCAGAGGGACACTTATAACAAATGAGTCACCCCTCCCCCCAACTAAACACCTGCAACAGCTCATCACAGTTGTTCAGTCAAAGGCCAGCAGTTTCCCTGTGGCTCACAAGGCCCCGACCTACCTCCCCAGCCTCGCCGTCCTCTCCTCCGGCCTCGTTTTGTTGCTCTGGCAATATTAACGCCATTTCAGTTCATTGTCCATGCTGCCTTCCTACCCCAGGGCCTTTGCATGGGCTGTTCCCTCTGCTTGGTAGAGTCTCCCTCTGCTCCCCACCCCAATTGTTTTCCCCTCTGTTTTTCTGTAATTACAGAATTTATTTCTGTGATAAAGAATAAAAATATGGCTGTGAAGTAGGAAATTGATCTTTAAGATGCAACAATCATTTTTTTTTTTAATCCTCACCCGAGGACACTTTTTGTATTCATCTTCAGATAGAGCGAGAGGGAGAGAGGGAGAAAGAGAGCGAAACATTGATGTGAGAGAGACACATTGACTGGCTACCACCCACATGACCCCAACCGAGGCCGGGACAAACTGCAACCGAGGTACATACCCTTAGCAGGAACCAAACCCGGGTCTCTCTGGTCCGCAGGCTGACGCTCTAACTGTTGAGCCAAACCAGCCAGAGCAGCAAGTCATTTTTTAAATTAACTTACTTAAAAGGAAGATGAATAAACCACTAGAGCTTCGGCTCAATTTCTATTTGAATGACCAGCCAGTATTTTAGATCTTTATTTAATCACAAACCCCTCTGCCCGCCAGGGGGAGAGAAATCACTGCCAGCCAAGTGGGTGGGGTAGGGCATCTAGCCCCAGCGTTTGAATGGGCAGAGGGGGGCTACGTGCAGAAGGCCTGGGGCCAGCAGTGCTGCCTGTATGGACGTCCCTGGGCGCTCACGGTGCTGTGGGGGGAGGGCAGTATGTCCCTGTGGCCTCAGTCCCCGGGAGATGAAGCGTCTGGAATTTTCCTTATGCGCCGGAAGGATTAGTAATCTTTCCTACGAAGAGCATGGCGGGTATGATCTTCTCTGTAATCATCAGCAGAAAGGGTCTGTTCAGCTTGTAGGTTAGCGGCTTCTCCATGGGCAGTGTCTCCATTCCAGAGGCCGCGGCCGCCTCCGTGCCCTTCTCGTCGACCTTCAGCTTCGCCTTGTGCACCGCCTGTGGGAACCGGCAGCGAGGTCAGTGCGCGCCCAGCGCCGGAGCCCGGGGTGAGCCAAGGACGGCAAGAGGCCCAGAGAGGGAGAGGCCTCCACGGCCTTGCTCAGCACAGCAACAACAGCTGGTGCCAGCCTCCCCGGGCCTCTGCGGTCACCTGTCATCACTGAAGGACACTCAACAAGGAGATGACGCATGAGGAAGAAATGATGCAGCGGAAGCATCAGCTATGGGGGTCGGGGTGGGGGTCTGGGGGACAGAGTGGAGTTTGCTCTCCTTCCTGGGAAGTACAGGAAGTGCCAGTGGCGTAATGGCTCCATGGGAGGGAAGTGGTGGCCCTGTGCTGAGGCCTCCAGCCCGATGACCCCAGAGGCCCGGGGAGGCTGGCACCAGCTGTTGTTGCTGTGCTGAGCAAGGCCGTGGAGGCTCACCCCGGGCTCCTGGTGGCCCGGCGCTCCTTCCGACTGCCTGGGAGATGGTGGGCGGGTGGTTACGAAGGAGCCCGTTCCAGGCCAGCTGTTGCAGATAACTTGGATCCCAGATCCACCCCAATACCATCAACATCTGGGACCAGGTGATGGGCACTGGGAAATTGATGGGTATCCGTGAAAGACTCACACGCTGCATCCCATCCTACAAAATTCTACCCACTTTCTAGCCATGGCTCACATATAGGGTCACAGCTATGGGCACCCCTAACTGAGGGAGGAGACCAGCCATTGAGCCGCGTAGAGCTACAGGGTAGCTGACCCGGCACGTTTGTTTATAAGATGTCTGGGGCTGGAAAACTGAAAAGGGAGAAAATTCTATTCACTCTTTTCCTCCCTCTTGCAAACTGGAAAAAATCGGAATCAGTGCCCACAGTCAGCTTGGCACCTTGGCTTGACCTTCAGGCTCAGCACCAGACAGTCCCCACCCCCACCAGCCTTTGGCGGCGCTGCTCCCCCTACTGGAAGCTCCTCCCCACACCCAGTTCTGCTTGAGACCTTTCTCCCCTCAATTCTATTTTAACCTAAAAGTAGGGTTCCTAAATAAAATACAGGGCACCCAGTTAAAAATTTTTTTTCAGATAAATAATGGATTCTTTTGTGTAAATGTATCCCATGCAATATTTGGGACATGCCTATGCTAAAAAAAATTTACCCTTTATCTGAAATTTGAATTTATCTGGGTGCCCTGTATTCTATCTGCTAAATCTGGGACCCTACCCATGTGTTCCTCTCTGCATGCCCCTGAAGGCAGGTGCCCAGCCTTGCTGGAGACCACAGGCCCTTTGCTTGCTCATCTTTTAATCACGCAGACCATGTTCACAACTTACTCCCGACAGGCCTGTGATGCCTTTGAGTGAGGGTCTGGGTCAGACCTAGACCCGTTCTAGGCCTGATAAATGTTCCAGACCCTGATCAATTGTTTGCTGCACCGAATCGACTTCCAGAACAGCACCAGGAGTGTGGTTCTTATCTGAAAGACTGGGAACGTGAGGCTGGGGGAGTTTCATGATTCACCCAGGAGCACGTGGCTGGAGCACGTGGCCGGCAGGGGCCAAGCTGCATTCGAACTCGCCAGACTGGAGGGTGGAGTCCCGGCTGTGCAGTGCCGTGACGGTGGCCCTGGCCCGGCTGTGGGAAGGCTCCCTGTGCCGGAGGGGGCAGTGCCCAAGCCTAGTCGGCTTACCTTACCCACTTTCAAGCTTCGATTAGGGGCTATCCTGGTGAGATCACCATGCTCCTCGAAGATTTTGCTGATACCCAGGTAGGAGAGAGTCTTCTTTAGGTCGTAGGTGCCAGTCATGGAGAACCTGGGCAGGAACACGTCTACAACCCTAGGGAGCGGGAACGGACAACGGTGAGCAGCAAGGTTCTAACCTAGAGAGGCCCCAGGATGGATGACGAATGAGACAGTCTCCCCAGACTTGAAAGTCTCCGACTTTTTCTTTATCCACAGAATGAGGAGGGTTTCTCAACTCTAAAAACACCCATGCCCTCTGGACTGTCTCTGCTTCCTATCAGACCTGCTCCAGAGCCTTCATCCCCAGAAATGTTCTCAAGTCCCCACCATCTCAGGGCCCCTTCAGCTGCAACCACTGAGGTCTCCCCACTGCAGGCTCAGCCATGCCCCGGCTAGGAGCCAGTCGTGACCCCGACAGGCCTGATGTTAGGGGCAGCAGGGCCAAAGATCTGAAGCCGGGCAGCACTTGTTCACTTCCACTCTGTCTCCCATGAGCTCTGTGACTTGGAGCTAATGATCTCACCTCTCTAAGCCGCTTGTGCAGAAGTGATGATGGTAACCATGGCAGCCCCGGGGCGGTAAGGGAGTGAGTGCAGATGCACGGGGGGTGCTCAGCACAGCCAGTGATCAGCACATGTTCATCCTCTTGCCCTGAGCTAGCAGCCTCACATCCCCCATGGATGGGACCTGGGCTGGCCTCTCTGCCTGGGACCTGTCGTCAGGTGTTCTTGAGGCACCTGTGGGCCTTGGACTCCTGTCCTTCTGACCCTGAACCCCATTTCTTCTTGCCTCTTCAAGAACCCATCCCCGCCTCTGTTTCCTTTCTCTCCTGTGCCCTCCATAAAGGCTATCTACTTGGCCGTGCTCAAGAGCAGACCACCTGCTAGAATAGCCCCTGTCCTAAAAAACAAAAGCAAAAAACATCTCCATTGCCCCTGAGTCAACTTTCCAGCTTCCAGCCCGTATCTTTACTTTTATTCATAGCAGAAGTGGTATCTACCAGGTGTCTCCACTTGCTCCCACTGTTGCCTCCACCCGCTCCGGTCAGGGGCTGTCCTCCACGTCCACGGCAGTAGCTCTTTCCAGAGTTGCTGCCGACCTCAGGTGGCTGGATCCGGCCGCAAACTCAGGGGCCAGCATGAGACAGCTGACCCATCTGTCCATCTTGAAGCTTTGCAACCCAGGTCCACGCCCTCCAGCTTTCTCCTTCCTTCACTGGCCACTCCCTCTCCCACCCTTTGCTGCCTCCCCCTTGCCACCTGTCCGTCACTGGGATGCTTCAGCCCTTGGTCTTCTCTGTTCTGTCTTTTCTCCCTCTCTGGGGATCTCACTCATTGTCATAGCTTTAAAGCCCAGAGATAGGCCTAGTTGACTCCCAAACTTACCTTTCCATTCATCCATTCATTCAACAAATATTTATTAAGTGCCTACTGTGTACCAGGCACTGTGCTAGATGCATAGACACATCCATGAAGAGAACAGGCCAACATCCATGCCCTTGAGCTTGTGCTTTAACAGGAAGACAGGAATGAAGTCATCGGCACAGAACCTCTACGTGGCATAGGCGTGGAGATGGGTAGCTACGTGTCAGAAGGCAGTGTGTGATGTGGAAAAGCTACAGGTTGACGTACAGGATTCAGGAGCGCTGGAGTAAAGGGAAGATTTGTAGCAACTTGGATGGAGGCGGAGGAGTTAGGCAAGTTTTTTGTTTGTTTGTTTGTTTGTTTGTTTTTTCTGAGTGAAATGAGGAGCCACTTGTGGGTTCTGAACAAAGGAGTAACATGGTCTTGCTTAGGGTTTAAAAGGATCATTTTGTCTGTTCCGTTAAGAATAATCCCTCGGTGGTGAAGGGCAGGGACCAGAGCGATGCTGGGCAACCATTTGGAAGTTAGTGAGGTGGTCAGATGTAGGGGGGGCAGGGGTCATAGAGGTGGTGGGAAGGGATCAGCCTCCAGGTTTGGTTTATGGGGCCCCCCGACAGACTGAATGAGGGGCTGGGGAGAAGAGAGTGGTCAAGGAGGACCCCAAGGTTTTCAACTCGAGCAAGTGAAAGGATGGAGTCTCCACTGAAGGACACAGAAGCTTGAGGAGGCTCCCTAAGGGGAATCAGGATGTTCGTTCTGGGCGCTTGGGGCTGAGATGTTCTCAGGCACCCAGGGGCGGTCCTGGGTGAGCAGATGATGTGTGGCCCTGCGGTCGGGGAGAGGACTGGGACTAGAAGCAGACACGTGGCGTGGCGGTCGGGGAGAGGACTGGGACTAGAAGCAGACACGTGGCGTGGCGGTCGGGGAGAGGACTGGGACTAGAAGCAGACACGTGGCTGGCGGTCGGGGAGAGGGGAGAGGACTGGGACTAGAAACATACACGTGGCGTGGCGGTCGGGGAGAGGACTGGGACTAGAAGTAGACACGTGGCGTGGCGGTCGGGGTAACGCAGGCGTCCCTCAGAGCCGAGCCTGACGCGTGCACGGAGGGGCACCGACCAATGGGGGAGGCCTGAGAGACAGCCCTGTGGCGTCATCTGAGACCTGGAGGAGAAGGGGCGGGCAGCAAAGGAGACGGAGAAGGCGAGAGGGATGGAGAGACTGGGGGGCCTGGAAGCCAAGTGAAGAACCCCTCCTAGGAAGGTGGGGATCAATTGGGTCAATGCTGCTGACAGGCTGAGAACGACAGGTCTGACACTGGCCATTGGATTCAGCCACACGGACGCCCTTGAGAACCGTGGCGATGAACGTCTTCATGGAGGCGAGCGCGGGAGGCTGATGGACGCGGTGTGAGAGGGTGCGGGGAGAGAGCTGTGGACAGTGAACGGGGCAACCCGCATCAGGTGTGCACCTGCACAGGGGAGCAACAAATGAAGCAATGGTGGGGGCAGAGGGGGCAGGAGAAGAGATGATAGCATCTTCACCTCTGATGGCAACGATTCTGTCGAGAGCAAACACAGCTGCTGATTTCGGAAAGAAAGGAGGGAGTTTCTAGGGTAACAGTCCTGAGTAGCAAGAGGGGGGGCTCCAGAGCATACGTGGGGAGCACGGCTTCAGTTCACATCTGAGTGGGAAACAGAAAACGTGGGGCCCATGCTGCCAGGTGTCTGAGTAGGTAAAGGCGTGACGGGGAACCCAGGCTGGGAGGGGACCCCTGACATTTTAACAGGAAAATGGCTATTTCAGGGTCACCAGCAGTGTGCCTCCTAGAGGTGGACCTTTCCATTTGCCTCTGGGAAGACCTAGCCCTTTCTCCGGAACCCCCCGGCAGGCTGCTAATTACGCACACACAGCAGGAGTCCGTGCACTGTGCACACCCGGGCCTCGGCCGCCCAGGGCCTGAACCCCCAGGCGTGCTGGGCACGTGTCAGTTGGCCTGTGTCTCTTAGGTGTGTGTCTGCTGGCTCGGTCTCGTCTCCTGGGGAGAGTGTGCGTTTCCTCTTCAGCTTGCCCAGGCCTTGCTGTCTGGAGCGGACCAGCCCTGCCTCTCCCACTAAGAAACAGGGAGCAGTCTAGACAGGACGGCTCGGTCCAGACCGCAGGAGCTCGGGAAGTCGGAAGGTTGGCTATGGTGTTCTGCTGAAATGCAGTTTCCTCCTGAGGCCCATGGACAAGAGTACTCCCTGCAGGAGGATGGGGCTTATCCCGTGAGGCGGTGGGCATCGCTGTTCTCGGTCATTCTGGGGCCAGAGCGATTGCGGAGGCAAGGCCTGGCCTCGGCGGGAGGAGCGCCGGGGGCCATGTCCTCCTGGCTGGGGGCCCAGCCCGACATGGGGGTGCTGGGAGAAGTGTGGGGGAGGCAGGCCTGGAGCAGTTAGGAGGGCGTTCTGGAAGCGACCCTCAGTGCAGCCCGCGCTTGGACTCAACGAGGAGACACTTCTAGGCACTGTAAGTATCCCGGGCCCCTGTGGGGAACTTGGGTTCCGTTATCCCCCAAATAAGGCCTGTGCTGGCTGCAGGAAATATCACAGGGCCTACCCCACACTTGGGTGGAGGAGCAAAGGGAGGGGTGTGGACTCTCCTGAAACCAGAGAGATGATGCCAGTCCCTCAGGAACATTTGCGTGTGGTTAGTGGTGCCCTGGTAGTGACCTCCGCTCCCGGAGCTGCAGAGGGGCTGGGCCAGGGCAACATGAAGCACCACTGTGGGCACCATAGCTGCAGCCCCACGGGAAATTGTCGGAAATAACCTGGAGATGCAGACGGGGTAAGAGCTCAGTAAACCTGGGTTAGAAGAAGTACAGAGTAGGAGGAACGGGAGAAAGAAGGAAGAAGCTGCACAGAGCAGACGCCCCTCTTTACCTTCGCGTGATTAATTTTTTCCATCGCTCCAGAGTGTCCAGATTCAAGGCCTCCTCCACCTGCCTCATTTTGCCCTCGTGGGGAAGGACGAAGGTGGCTGTGATGTTATGATAGTAAGGCATTTCCAGGACAGCGCAGCAGAGCTGGTTGTCATAGCCCACTCGATACATGCCCCCGTGGAACATCATGGGGACCTTCACCGGCTTGTTTTCCTCCAGGAAGAAGTCTTCCTCTTTAGTTGCTTTTGGATCAAACTCATGTTGCCACCTGGCTTAAAATTGAAGAAGAACAAAGTGATGTGAGTGTCCTGCAGGAGACAAAGTGACTGGATCAAGCCAAGCACTGGTCTCTGTCCACACGCATTCAAGGAAAGGGATTAAATGCTCTGAGACGTCAGGTCAGGTCTCCAGGAATCCCTGTTCTCATGACATGCCCGAAAGACTTCTGGTGAGGTGGTCTGGGACCTGATTGCCAGTTCCCAAAGCAGCCAGGCCTAGGGCTGCTGAGCCAAGAGGAGAGGTTCAGGCAGCTCTAAGCCCAGGTGCTCCTAAGGGTGAGAAAGTCTGTGGACTGTGTCTCAGCAGAAGAGACCAAATTATACTTAGTGAGGGCTATTTGGGCCTGATGTGAGTAAAAATGCTTTATTCTAAGTCAGCCCTGGAGGAGCTGCTCTCAGCCAGACTAAGAAAGATGATGGAACAGTGTGCTCTGGGGAGCCTGCTGAAGAGCAATGAACTCCCGAAACTGAGTGTTTGGATCCCCCATTTTCTATCCTGAGGATTCTTTGATACTGTTGGGCATAAATTCACACTCCCTACCCTCAGAGCCCCCAGAGTTCAAATTCTAGCTCTACTGTTCTAGATGGATAACCGTGGGCAAGTGTCTTAACCTCGCTGGGCTTCATTGTCCTTATCTGCAGAATGGGGATATTGATGGGCAACTCTTAAGGCAGCTGTGAGACGGAGAAGGAGCAGCACAGCTTAGTGACCATGTATAGTAAGTGTTGAACGAATGCTAGTCATCATCGGCATCATCATCACCCCAGGTCTTGTAATTTAAGGGATGTGAGGATTTAGGGAATTTCCAGATTTTCCTTTCTCCCTCTGCTTTGGGAAGACTGAGATTTCAGTCTACCATTGTCACTATTTTTTTTTCCCCTCTACTGCTATCCATCTCTCTGTGGATTTGGGGAGAACTGAACTTCCATATTCAGAACCATGTTGCTGACAGCCCAGCAATAATCTTGCCTGGCCTGAGGGCGGTTGGCCTCTGATTCTTACTATGTCGGCCAACCTATGTGTAAGCATGTAGGTGTGTATGGTGGGAGGAATGATGCTGGATTTGGGGATATTCTTCCACCTTCTTTTTCAGTCTCTCAACCTCAGACTTGGGAATCTGTAGGGTTTGGTAGGAGACCAAAGCACCCACCAAAGTGATCATCATCACCATCATCAACAACACCATCCCCACCCTGGGCATCTACTTGGAATGATGGGAAAGCACACAGCTCTTGGGCCAAGAAAAGTGGGTTTTACTTCTGACTTTCATTGACTGGCTTTGTAACTGAGTAAGTCAATTCACGTCTCTTTGGATTTCACTTTCCTTTTCTAAGAAATGGGGAAAAGAATGTCACTGCAACCTCTATAACCAATGTTTATGTTAGGATAATTGGTAATAATGAAAATGCACCTGTGGAGAATAAGTTAGACTTCACAAAGTTTACCACATACATTTTTGCTTTAAATACCAATGACTGTCCTATGAGCTATGTAGCATGGTACTCATTTTGCGGACAGGAAAAGTGAATCTTTGAGAGATTTAACCACTTATGAACTCAAGGTCACAGAGCAAGCAAGTGGCCAACCTTGGATTTTGATCCAAGTCTACTGGTCATGCTATCCTTCCCATGCCAAGCTCTCCCAAGCCTTACCTTGAAAGAAAATACTGTTGACAAGAAGCATCACAGTGCCAGGATCTATATTCTTGACCAGGTTATCGATTCTTCCATGGGTTTTCTCACTGACATAGTCATTGATCTGCTTCTCGGCATTTCCCAAGTCCTGGAAGTTGGTGGGGACACTGTCTGCATTGTACAGGTTCTTGGCCTCTGTCATAAACTTCTTCACTGGTTGCATATTCTGGTCCAAGAACAAGATGTTCTCGAGGTTCAGCTGGAGGTCCTGGGTATTCTGGTTCAGACTGTGGATAAGGTAATGGAAACCCTCATTAAGGTTTTTCTCCTGTATATTCCTGAAATTGAGGCCCTGCATGATCTCGGCCAGCGTGGAGTTCTGGGCACCCAGACACAACATGGAGAAGGCTGTAGAGATGCTCAAGGGGGAGAAGAAAATGTTCTTGCTGGGGCCAATGGAGGTCAGCTTCTTGTATAGCTTGAAGCCAAAGTCTATGTTTCGCCTTGCAAGCTCCTGGGCTGCCCTCTTTCCCTTCCACTCTTTGGCCTGGTTCACAGCTCCGTGATTCTTTGGAGAAACGTTGGGCTTCAGAAGACCTTCCACAGTGAGGAGGCCAGCCAGGAGCAGGCCCAGGCCCAGCATGGGGTTCATTTTTCTTGGAGATTGTCCTGTTGAGTAGTAGACCTAAGGTTAGCGGGAAAAAAAGAACAAGAGAGTCCCGTGGCCCCTATCTAATCCACAGGAAGACCAGATGAAAGAAGTAATGCAGTGACTAGTGTGTGCTATGCACAGTGGGTTATAAGTGCTTTGACATCCATTGTAGCATTCAACCTATACAATCAACTCAGGGACAAGAAATGATTGTCCTCATTTTATAAATGAGAGGACTAGAAAAGAGAAGAGCTCTTGTGTTTGTACCCATCTTCCTCATCTTAGGGGGGAGAATCTCAGTTCCTTTGAGGAACTGTTCCCTCCACTCCACTGGAAATGCCACAGTGTGGACATGTGACCCAGGCTAGGCCATCATAATACTTCATCCCCTGCCACACTGGTTGGTAAAGAAATTAGAGTGCACCCCAGATCGCTCAATCAATGTCTTTCCCTGAGAATGCAGTGTCTGGCTTAACAATGTAGCCCTGGAGCTCAATGTGGCCATGACTTCCATATGTAGAAGGAGAGAGGGAGAGAGAGCGAGAAATGGGGAGAAATACTTGATGACATCTTTGGAGTCCCTGCATCAAGTTTTACCTGAGGTCCTACCACCTCCAATTTTGTAAGTTATGAGCCAATCCATTTCCTTTTTAGGGTTGGCTGATTTGAGTTGGATTTTTTTTTCCCCTTACAATCGAAAGAATGTTGACTAATTTGTAGAAATCAAGCCCCTTGTCTAAGATCACATGGTCTATAAGTGAGGAATATGACCTCCAGAAGAACCCGGGTCTCTGTTAACCCTCTTGCCTGTGCCCTTTCCAGAGAAGAGAGGGGGCAGTGTGGTGAGAGGGACAGGCCAAGTCTGGGTTCACGGCCGCTGCTCCTTCACCACCTCTCAGCTTTGACATCTCCCAGCAGGGGTGAGCTTTGGGGTGGGGCTGGGGGGCAAGATTTTCATTTTTTATTTTCTCTTCATCTCTAGCTCTAATGCTGCAGAGAGCTGCCAAAAGTATGGTCTTCCAGTTCGGCTGGTGTGGCTCAGTGGTTGAGCATCGACCAATGCACACAGAGGTCGCCGGGTCAATTTCCGGTCAGGGCACGTGCTCAGGTTGTGGGCTCATCCCCAGTGGGGGGCATGCAGGAGGCAGCCAATCGATGTTCTCATCTCTCTCATCGATGTTTCTATATCTCTCTCCCTTCTCCCTCTCTCTCTAAAATCAATAAAGAAAAAGAAAGCAAAAAGAAAAAAACGCATGGTCTTCCAAAAAGCTTACTGATTTCTCAAGCTGGCCATGCTACTGTCAATGATTTTTATACCAACTTATATGTCAAATAAGGCAGATTTCTTTGCACGGTCCTCTGTTATCCTTACTGTTTTCGTTCCTGTGATTTACGTCTTCGTGGATCTGAACCTGTGGGAGGCGGGAGGTCCTCACCAGGAAAGACTGTCTGGCTGTGTGGGCCTGGGTTCTTGAGAAGCAGAGCCTGGGTGAGGATTCGTGAGGGTGAACAAGGGCATTGTTCACTGAAGGAGCGCTCTTCGGAGGGGCTCCTTGGGGAGTGAGGGAGGCAGGTCAGGAGAGGGAAGGAGCCCGGAAAAGATGTGCCTGGTTCCAGTGACATCCAGCCTTGACCTGATCGACAGGGGCAGGCCCTGGAGCTGACGCCCACGACAGAGGGGCTCCGTCACTCAGGGGTCTGCCTCCGGGATGCACGGTCTGGGGTGTCGCTGCCTGGCTCAGTTAGCGCCTGTCAGACAGGGGCAGCTTTCTGGAGCGGGGAGGGCGACTGTGAGCTGTTAGCTGCCAACCTCACAGCACCACCAGCCTGGGGAACCGGGCCCAGAACCGACAGGTCCTCTAAATGGAGGAGGCTCTTTCTGTTTGACTGAGTCGGGGGCTGACCCAGGAGCACCCCAAACCCCCAAGTCTGTTGTACCCCAAGCCCTGTATGCCGGGTACCGTGGAGGCAGCCATCATGCGAGCAAAGTGGGTCTTCAGGGAGCTCGTGGTCCAGAGGATGAACTCCCAGGGCACACCGCTCATAGTTTCCCACCCCCCCCCCCCCGCCTTAACAGAACTTCATCTCCCAGCCCACGTGCCTCAGGGACGGGGACCTATCCGCAGCCCCGCGGGGCTGGTTGGGGCAGGGTGACCTCAGGAGCCAGCCCTAACCCAGTCAGGCCACAGTGAGTCCCGCCCTGACAGTTGTTCAGGGAGGGGCACATGGTGTAGGTGGCCCGGTGAGGGTGAATTCAGGCTCTTTGCTGGAATGCTGGGGTCCCGCCCTTTTTTGTCCTCTGGATGTCCTCGGCAGGAAGGTGTGGACACCAGGGGCTCCCACAGCCATTTGCCCAGTGCGGGAAGTGACTCTAGGACAAAGCCAGGACGCAGAGAGGGTGCATGCAGGGCTTTGCAGAGCGTCTGGAGCTGGGGCCACAGGTGAAGCCCACCCGGAACCCACCCTACCTCTAGGCTTCCAGTGGCACTAGTGTGTTACGTGGTGAGTTACTTGAAGCCAAAAACATGCTAGCAAATACAAGTGTTTGTGTGTGTGTGTATATATATATTTTTTGGAATATGGGTTTTTTTTTGTTTTGTTTTGTTTTTTTAGAGAGAGAGGAAAGGGGAAGAGAGAGAGAGAGAAACATTGATGTGAGAGAGAAACATCAATCAATCGGTTGCCTCCTGCATGCACTCTGTCCAGGGATCGAACCTGAAACCTGGGTATGTGCCCTGACCAGGAATCGAACCAGAGACCTTTCGGTGCATGGGATGATGCTCAACCAACTGAGTGACACTTTCCAGGGCACAAATATATATTTTTCTTAAAAGCTTGGGTTACCAAGACGTCAGGAGTCCTGGCTCTGACCTTATGCCTTATTGCTGTGTGACACCACGGAAGGACTTGCCCTCTCTGAGCCTTGGTGATGTCTAAGCACCTTCCATTCCTAATGACACTTTTTTTTTTTCTCCAGGAGAAATTAAAAATAGCTGGTGATGAACAAGGGCTCTAGAGACTGTCTGAAAATAGATCATAGATGAGAAGGTTAGGAAAACCCCCGGGGATGTTTCAGACAAGAAAAGAAACTAGAAAATGGGATGGTTCAGTCTGCCAGGCAGTGGGCCGGACTGTGGACGAAGTCTGCCCGGATTAGGTGGCCGCCTCTGTGTGCACCATTTCCCAACGCCTAGAAGTGGAGACGTTTACACACTTCCGCCAGGGAGCTCAGGGAACATGCTCACAGAGGTTTACCAGCCAGGTGAGATGCAAAGCCATTGAGCAACCTGCCAGAGCAGGACAGGGCCAGGACAGGGCCGGGACAGGGCCAGGACAGGGCCGGGACAGGGCCGGGACAGGGCCGGGACAGGGCCAAGACAGGGCCAGGACAGGGCCAGGACAGGGCCGGGACAGGGCCGGGACAGGGCCGGGACAGGGCCGGGAGAGGGCCGGGACAGGGCCGGGACAGGGCCGGGAGAGGGCCGGGACAGGGCCGGGAGAGGGCTGGGACAGAGCCGGGACAGGGCCGGGACAGGGCCGGGACAGGGCCAACACAGGGCCGGGACAGGGCCTGGAGAGGGCCGGGACAGAGCCGGGACAGGGCCTGGACAGGGCCGGGACAGGGCCGGGACAGGGCCGGGACAGGGCCTGGAGAGGGCCGGGACAGAGCCGGGACAGGGCCGGGACAGGGCCGGGACAGGGCCGGGACCTGGGACAGGGGAGGGAAACTGCTAGCAGCTCCATCCCAGAACCATTCTCTGGCCCAGACACCTCACACATGGTTTGACAGCGATGCCCAGGCAGTGATCCCTGAACCTTTTTTCTGCCTCACCGAGTTTGGGAAACAGGAACTGACCATGGAGTTAGACGTCTAGACAGTCTTCTCGTGCTTGTGTGTTCGTTAGGTGGCAATGCAGCAAGCCTCTGTGCCCTTCAGTATTGTCATCTTTTATCTGTATTTATTCATTGTGTTTATTTATTTATTTTTAGAGAGAGAGGCAGGGAGAGAGAGAGAAACATCCATGTGAGAGAAACATCGACTGGCCGCCCCCTGCACGCCCGCTGGGGATCGAGCCCGAAACCCAGGCATGTGCCCTGACCAGGAACTGAATTGGGACCTCTCAGTCCATGGGACAAGACTCAATCTACCAAGCCACACCAGCTAGGCAAAACTGTCAACTTTTATTTTTTAATTAATTAATTTTTTTACCCTCACCCGAGGACATTTTTCATTCATCTTTAGATGGAGCGAGAGGGAGAGAGGAGGGAAGAGAGAGAGAGAGAAACATCGATGTGAGAGAGACACATCGACTGGCTGCCACCTACACGACCCCAACCGGGACCGGGGACAAACTACAACCGAGGTATGTGCCCTTAGCGGGAACTGAACCTAGGTCTCTCTGGACAGTGGGCCGATGCTCTAACCACTAGCCAAACTGGCCAGGGCAATGCTGTCATCTTTTAAATGGGGGAGGGGGACAATACCTTGGCCTCCTTCCCACTGATGCTGCAAATCAGCTCGCAGCCTCAGCCCTTGGGACAGTCCACACCCTGCCAGGTCTCACCCCTGCCTCTCTGGGCCTGTGTCACAGGATCCCACAGGACTTCAGCCCCGTCCTCCGAGTGCCCACACTCCAGCCTTCTTCCCCACAAACAGCTCACACTAGATCCATTTCTGGCTTTTCTATCCGTCCTCACAGGCTCTACACTGACCCAAACTTGTCAGACGGGTGGGTACCCATCCCAGATGCCTGAGTAGGCTCATTTTTGTTTATTCCATCAATTAAAATAGCTGAGTAGCTGGTTATTTCCCAATAAATCGATAGACTGCCCAAGTTGAGCAACTGTCTTTTGGTTTTCGTTTTGGAGTGTGTGTGGGGGTAGGCGGGGACTGTCACTCTAGATAAAACAAGTAAATAGAATAAAGAAGAAAAAGAACAGCCCTGGCCAGTTTGGCTCAGCGGTTAGAGCATTGGCCTGCGGTCCAGAGAGACCCGGGT